CCTTGACTTTAGCAAAGCTTTTGATACGGTCTCCCACAGTATTCTTGCCGCCAAGTTAAAGAAGTATGGGCTGGATGAATGGACTGTAAGGTGGATAGAAAGCTGGCTAGATCGTCGGGCTCAATGGGTAGTGATCAATGGTTCCATGTCTAGTTGGCAGCCGGTTGCAAGCGGAGTGCCCCAAGGGTCAGTCCTGGGGCCGGTTTTGTTTAATATCTTTATTAATGATCTGGAGGATGATGTGGACTGCACCCTCAGCAAGTTTGCAGATGACACTAAACTGGGAGGCGTGGTAGATACACTAGAGGGTAGGGATAGGATACAGAGGGACCTAGACAAATTAGAGGATTGGGCCAAAAAAAACCTGATGAGGTTCAACAAGGACAAGTGCAGAGTCCTGCACTTAGGACGGAAGAATTCTATGCACTGCTACAGACTAAGGACCGAATGGTTAGGTAGCAGTTCTGCAGAAAAGGACCTAGGGGTCACAGTGGACGAGAAGCTGGATATGAGTCAACAGTGTGCTCTTGTTGCCACGAAGGCTAACGGCATTTGGGGCTGTATAAGTAGGGGCATTGCCAGCAGATCGAGGAACGTGATCGTTCCCCTTTATTCGACATTGGTGAGGCCTCATCTGGAGTACTGTGTCCAGTTTTGGGCCCCACACTACAAGAAGGATGTGGAAATATTGGAAAGAGTCCAGCGGAGGGCAACAAAAATGATGAGGGGTCTGGAGCACATGACTTATGAGGAGAGGCTGAGGGAACTGCGATTGTTTAGTCTCCAGAAGAGAAGAATGAGGGGGGATTTGATAGCTGCTTTCAACTACTTGAAGGGGGGTTCCAAAGAGGATGGAGCTCGGCTGTTCTCAGTGGTGACAGATGACAGAACAAGGAGCAATGGTCTCAAGTTGCAGTGGGGGAGGTCTAGGTTGGATATTAGGAAACACTATTTCACTAGGAGGGTGGTGAAGCACTGGAATGCGTTACCTAGGGAGGTGGTGGAATCTCCTTCCTTGGAGGTTTTTAAGGCGTGGCTTGACAAAGCCCTGGCTGGGATGATTTAGTTGGGAATTGGTCCTGCTTTGAGCAGGGGGTTGGACTAGATGACCTCCTGAGGTCCCTTCCAACCCTGATATTCTATTATTCTATGATTCTAAGTCTTTTGAAACTGAACAAAACAATTGCATTTCTTTAGGAGCTTTTTGTGAATATGTAGATATGTGTTTAAACCAGCTTTTAAGTCATGATGGCCTAGAGGATCTGCTTCTCAGGAATTGTATCTACTATATCTTGCTTCTGTGGCTTATGCCAAACTGGGATTTCCCTTGATTTTGGGCCACCTGTACATATCTCATATCAGGCATTAGTTTTTAGACTCTAAATAGTTACAGAAATGGTTGGTTTCAGCACTCCTAATATTATGCAGGTTCACTGTAAACTGTAGTATGAAATTGGAGAAAAATTAATAAAGGATTATACTGAACATCCGCAATGCTGTCTTGGTCTCCTGATGACATCCTGAAAATGACCCTTTTGACGTGGGGACAGAAAGGTGAGCGCTGATTCTCTGGGTAGCAATGGGCAGATGTGCTCGTGTAGGTCAACAGGACCACGTATGGAGTCAGTCTTACCTGGGATAATTCTTGGTGTCACTTAAGATGTTGACAGATATAAGACAGTAATACAATTCTCCAAAAATGCCAACCATTCTAGACCACAGTGGGCTGACAGGATAGTCTTTTCTCAAAGCCTTTATAGATTGTCTTGACAGGAAAACCGCTTAGTTCAGCTTCATTGACTGTTTAGTAACTCTCTTGCTTTCCTTCTCTGGGGGAATCCAAGAGAACTGGAATGGGAACTGCTCAGATGGAAACCTCCTTGCTTATATCACAGGCTGGGTGCCCCGCTGTGCTCCACCTCTTGCATAAAGTCCTGCAAATAATGCTTTGCAGTTCTGAAAATATTATAAGGGATACAGCAACTGGGGTATTGACCAAACCCTTAAAATGAGATCACTCTGTTACCAGCCTAACCAAGTGTTTTTGTCTCTCTCCGTGCAGGGGAACAGGTTGCTGTATTCCGTGCTCTGGATGGACAAGTGTATGTAGTCGATGCCTACTGCCCACACCTGGGTGCGAACCTTGCTGCTGGTGGCCGCGTGGTGGGTAACTGTATTGAGTGCCCATTCCACGGGTGGCAGTTTCGGGGAGAAGATGGAAAATGCACTACAATCCCATATGCTGAAAAAGGTGATTCTCTGCGTTCTCCTCCCCCTCCCCATGACTTTGCACTCAAGAGCTTGTGGCAGGGGCAATGTCTGTTCTGATACAGAACATGCTTTCCTAAGGAAATATAACTCTGGAAACATCCACATGGATAGGTCTCAAACTGTAACTATCCATGCGGAATCATCGTCCAACAGGTGTGTGTCTAGTGGGGTCCCTCAGGGATTTATGCCAGTCAACATTTTTATCAGTGACCTGATAAAAACAAAAAAATCATTGTGGATAAATTTTGCAGATGACACAAAAATTGGGAGGTGATGAATAATGAAGCGGCCAGTTGTCTGATACAGAGCCATCTGGATCACTTGGTAAACTGGTTTCAGAGTAGCAGCCGTGTTAGTCTGTATCCGCAAAAAGAAGAACAGGAGTACTTGTGGCACCTTAGAGATAAATTTGTTAGTCTCTACGGTGCCACAAGTACTCCTGTTCTTCTTTTTTGGTAAACTGGGTGAAAGCAACCAATATGTGTTTCTGGATGTTTTTCTAAAAGCTCTGGTCTAGGAATTATTTTGGAGCAGGTCTCTGGACTATGTTCTACAGGAGGTCAGACTAGATTATCACAATGGTCCTCTCTGGCCCTGGAATGTATGACTCTATGAAGGACATGATATTGTGAGATGTTCATACAGTTTGAGTGGACCTCAAGTGAAAAAATGATTCTGTATATAATTTTAAAAGAATACTATTCAACTCCTGAAATGGAGGGGGCTTGTTGATGTGAACTTATTTAAATAACTTGAATGAATGATATAGTAAATCGAGGCCTTAGCATAGGTTGTCATAACTTCAGATTTAATTTTAATCAGGTTTATTTTTAAAAAGAGAAATATAATTAATAAACATTTTTAAAAGCCCATCAGTGTATATCCACCCTGTCTAGTTTGGGCCCCAAGGGCACATCTACACTACAGCTGAAAGCACGCCTCCGAGCCCAGGTACACAAACTCACGGTAGTGGGGCTTAAGCTAGCATGTTAAAAATAGCAATGTGGGCATTGTGGCTTGGGCTAGCTACCCAGGTCCAAACCCACCTGATCACCTGGGTCCAAGCTCAAGTGTCTAGCCCATGCCACAATGTCCACGCTGCAAGTCTGTCTACCCGGGCTCACGCCCAGCTGAAATGTAGATGTACCTTCAGATTGACGTGGGAGAACATGAACCACAAAACCATCCTTCTGCATTGTCCTGTAAGAGCGTTCAGCTCCTATACAACCAGTACAAGAGATGCTGGGCAGCACTAATGTCCTCTGTTGGGACTCTGCCTCTCTGTGCCATTTGCTGTAGCTCAGGGCCGAGTGAACGAACCTATGACACAGTATTAGACTTGGCACCATCTGCTCTGCACTAACCTCTTTCTCCCCTCCGCAGTGCCAGACTTTGCAAAGATTAAAACATGGCCCTCCTGTGAAGTAAACGGAATGATACTTGTCTGGTATCACTGTGATGGTGTCGATCCAGTGTGGACTGTCCCAGAGCAGGAAGAGATCACCTCCAAGGAGTGGGTGTATCGTGGCCACACAGAACATTTTGTCAATGCTCACATTCAGGTAGGAGACTTCTACTACGTCTGGTCAGACTCTGGGTAATGCTGTGGGTTTTTGTGCTCTGGAAATTGTATCCTACTGTGATAAATAAAGGGAGGGGGAAGAGCTCCCTTTGATGGACACCCAGCCAGCCAGCCCGCTGTAAAATCCCTTTTGATAGCTGTTCTTTACTTGCTTACCTGTAAAGGGTTAAAAAGTCCCCCAGGTAAAGGAAAAAAAGTGGGCACCTGACCAAAAGAGCCAATGGGAAGACTAGAACTTTATGAAATTGGGGGAAAAAACTTTCCCTTTGCCTGTTGTTCTTTCTGGGCTGCAGGGACATGGAGCAGCAATGCTATAAGCAGGAATGCTGTGTAAGGTTTGAACCAGGTATGAAAAATTATCTTCCATACCTAGAAGGAATCATTTGGATAGAGAATGTTGAGATAAATGCGGTCAGGTTATTTCTTTATTTTGGCTTGTGGATCTCCTCTGTGCTAATCCCAGATGCTTTTGTTTGCTTGTAACCTTTAAGCTGAATCCCCAAAAAGGCTATTTTGGGTGCTTAAATTTTGGAATTGCTCTTTTAAAATCTAGCAAAAGCCTAAGTTCCAGATGTATTTTCTTTCTTTTTGTTTTTAATAAAATTTACCTTTTTTAAGTACAGGATTTGAATTGTTGTGTCCTAAGAGGTTTGTGCCTATGCCTTTTCATTAGCTAGTGGCAACAGCTAATTTCCTTTGTTTTCTTCTCAGCTCTTCCCTGGAGGGGAGTGAAGGGGCTTGAGGGAACCCCACAGGGAGGAATTCCCAAGTGTTCCTTCCTGGGTTCAAGAGGTTTTTTTGCATTTGGGTGGTGGCAGCATTTACCAAGCCAAGGTCAGAGAGAAGCTGTGATCTTGGGAGTTTAATACAAGCCTGGAGTGGCCAGTATTAATTTTTAGAATCCTTGCAGGCCCCCACCTTCTGCACTCGAAGTGCCAGAGTGGGAATTCAGCTTTGACACCTACCTAAAACAGATGAGGACTCCAGCTCTGCCAATCACTAGCACGAGCACTGTAGTTTACAGCTTTGAAACTTTCCCTCTTAAATTTTGACTCTTGCATGGTTAAGAAAGGGAGGAGCTGGTAGAACACTTAGCAAATGGTCTTAGCTCCGTATCAACTGTTTCCTCCTGGAGCCCAGTGCAAGCAAAACTCCCATTGACTTCAGTAGGAGCTCTGCCTATCATGCATGATCCAGCCACTCAGTGATAACAGCTAGTGCAGCCATGTGGATGTGGCTGGAGTTGTTAAAAGAAACTCAAAGGAGTTAGGCACCCAAATGAATACCAAGGGGATGTGTGCCCTACTCCTTAAGGCTCCTCTGAAAATCTCAGCCCAGGGCAAGACTTGACCATTTCCCTTCTTCTATTAAATGACACTTGGAAATAAACACAAGCTCTTGGTGTGACAGTTGCCTATCTCAGATGGCCCAATTCACGTGGCCATAAAACATTTATACAACCTGTCTCTAAGCTGTATCCCTCGGAAATACACTGCCTGCCTTGTTTCTTAACTGGAACTGTCAGTAACTCTTTTCAGATTACTGGTGTCAGACTGACTCTTGTGGCATGTGCCCAGGACAAGTCAATGGAAAGAACAGCCTTTATCGTGGAGACTCCATTTTGCTGTTCTGTAGTTAAACTCTATTGGACTCCGCACTTAAAGCAGGAATTCAAGCGCTTCGTTATGTACCGAGAATGCAGCATGAGCTGCCCAAACATAGGGCATGTGCTCTCTGACTGTAGAAAGGACAATCTGAGAATTGACAAGTGAATCTGTGTGACCGAAATATCGGGTCCACCTAGCTGAGAGCCAATAACAGCCAGACAGGGATAAGGAGGAGTTGCTTTATTCT